CTTTCCTCCATGAGCACCTGAGACAGAGAGTGAGACAGAGAAACAAACATACTCAAGAGGGTCCTTACACTGTAATTCATCCCCAGGCCTAGCCAGCTCTGGATCATGGGTACATGCCTGGTGTTTTCAGAGAGGTCTCCAAGTGTGAATGCAGAATCTTCCCATGTGGGTCAGCCTCACAGAGTGTTGTGCCACAGCTCTGTTACCATGTAGCCTCCTCACCCCTAGATCATGGGCACATGCATGCCCAGCATACCCAGGGAGGTCTGTGGACACCAACTCAGAACCTTCCCACATGGGTCAGCCTTGAAGACTGTTGTGTTTTACTGCTGCACCATCATCCGGACTCTTCCCTGATGACTTTTGTTGTTGAACATTCTATTTATACATTTATTGACCATTTGGAAATCCTCATTTGTGAAGTGTCTGTTAGTGTTTTATTATTTGTTTTTGTTTTTGTTTTGTTTTGTTTTTTAGCCATAGGGCATGTGTGCTTGCCAGAGAAAAACAGAGAGGCGAGGTGATAAATGACCCCCAGGGAGGATGGTTACCCTCCAGTCTTTTCTCCTCCACTCTCCTCATGGCATTTTGGGGATGCACACACATGCACTTGGCATGTTTTTCAGGCCACCAGTTCTGATGCTCGAACCACAGAGTCAGCCATGTGGGATCTAGTGGCTTAAATACCATGCTAGCTGCTGCCTGCCTCTTTTGGTCATTATTTTATCGCATATTATTTTTTCTGAAAAAGACATTCAGACAGAGGGTATAGCAAGAAGGCGTGGAGATGCTTTGAGTGTAGAACTGAAGGTGGGAAGGCGGTATAGAGAGCTAATATTGCAGAAAAGGAAACTAAGGCAAAAAATAAGCTAAAAAGCTCACTCTTATAAATGATAGAACGGGAACCAGCAGGTGGCGTGGTGATTAAGGCACTGAATGAACACTCCCACATGACCAACCATGGTTCGAGTCCTGGACCTAGTGGCTTACTTTCTCTCTCTCTCTCTCTGTCTTTCTCTGGTCAAATTAAAATAAATGAATAAATTAAATTAAATTATTCTTTAAAAAATAAATGATAGAACCAGGATTTGAACCCAGGCTTCAGTATCTGTGCTCTTAACTACTATGGTATGTACTGTCTTTAAAAGTGATAGTCTTAGGGCTGGCAGATGGCATGGTGATTAAAGGCACTGGATTTCCACATGACCAACTGAGGTTTGAGCCCAGGGCCTGGTGGCTTGGTTTCTTGCTTTTCCTCTCTCTCTGGTTAAATTAAAAGAAAATAATAATAATAATGGAATTAAGTAAATAGATAAATAAGTAAATAAATATTTTTTAAAAAGAACTCATAGTCTTGGGACCAGCAGATGACATGGTAGTTAAAATGTTGGATTCCCACATGACTGACCACAGTTTGAGTCCTGGACCTGGTGGCTTGAAAACCATGCCAGGCACATATAAGTGCATACATACCCACAATCCCAAGAGGAGAATGGAGGAGAAGGGATGTGGCATGACCATTCTTCCTGGAGAGGGATTTCTCACTTTCTCTCTGTCTGTCTCTCTCTGGCAAGCATATGCACCCTATGGCAAAAACTTCAAAAAAAAAATTATAGTCTTAGAGGTGAAAGAAACACTAGATATGATCTGATTTAATCTTTTTTATTTATTTGCTTACTTACACAGGGTCTCATTGTGTTGGGATGTTCCTACTTTAGTCTCCCAGTTGTGACTATAGGCACATACCACCATACCCACCTCTTTCTTATGAAGTAGCCCATGCCAGCTTTGAGCTTACGATCCTCCTACTTCAGCCTCCCTGAGTTGCTGGGATTACAGGGGAATGCCACCATGCCCAGCCTTTAGGTAGGACCGAGGCTTTAACCCAAGCCTCCCATGTGGTCCCAACCTGGGAAGTACAGCATCTTAGCATTGCATACCAACTTGGCTGCACTCAGAACTTTCTCATCAAGCCATACCGAAACTTGGTACCTATTAAACAATAACTCTTCAGTTTCTCTTTCCCCCAGCTCTTGGTGACCGCTACTTTACTTTCTATGAATTTGACTATTCTAGGTACTTTATGTAGGTGGAATCATACATTGTTTATCCCTTGGAATTTGATCTATTTCACTTAGCATAATGTCTTCAGAGTTTACCCATATTGTAGCCTGTATCATAATTTCATTTTTTAAAAGAGGTTTTTGTGTGCTTACCAGAAAGAAAGAGAATGGCAGAGTGAAAGGGAAAGTGAGAAATCATACTCCAGGGAGATAGCCACACCTCAGTCTCTTCTCCTCCATTCTCCTCTTGAGATCTTGGGCTTGCAAGCACATGTGCCCGGTGTGATTTTTTTTTTTTTAAGAGGTTTTTGCTATAAGGCGCGTACACTCTCCAGAAAGATGCAGAGAGAAAGCCAGAAATAACCCCCCCAGAGGGGATGGCCATGCCACAATCCCTTCTCCTCCATTCTCCTCTCAGGATCTTGGGCATGCATGCACATGCGCCCAGCGTGAGTTTAAGCTACCAGGTCCGGGACTCAAGCTGTGCTCGGCTACATGAGAGTTCAGCGACATAGCCATTACGCTAACTGCTGGTCCCACGCCCGGTGTGATTTTGAAGCCGCTGGGTCCAAGACTTGAACTGTGCCACCTTCTGGCCCCTATAGTAGGGAATTGTGAGTCTCCCAACTTTCTTTTTCTTTTTCAAGAATTGTTTATTTAAATAATTAATTTATTTATTTTAATTTGACCAGAGAGAGTGAGAGGGAAAGTGAGAAAGCAAGCCCCCCAGTCTGGGACTTGAGCCATGGTTGGCCATTTGAAATACCAGCACCCCAACTATCATGCCATCTGCTGGCCCCCCTCAAAAAATTTCTAAGTTTATTTGCTTATTTCCTGCATGAGTGGCACCAGCAGATTGTATATGGTTATGTCACAGAACTCCGCATAGTCGACTGTGGCTCAAGTCCCGGGCCCAATGGCTTAGAACTCACACCAGGCACATGCACATGCGTTCCCAAAATCCTGAGAGGAGAATGGAGAAGGGATTGTAGCATGGCCATCCCTCATGTATGTATTGGGGGGTGATTTCACACTTTCTGTTTGTCTCTGTCTCTCTGGCAAGCTCACACACCCTACAGAAAAAAATATCTCTCTAAAAAAAAAGAGAGAGAGAGAATGAGAGAGACAATATCTCTCTAAAAAAAAAAGAGAGAGAGAGAATGAGAGAGACACAAAGGCAGAGAAGGACCCCCATCAGGATCCTCGCACCTCAGTCCACTGCAGCTTTAGCCAGCCCAACGCATGGCCCACATTTGCCAAGCATGGAGAAGGTTTGGGGGCACAATTCCCAGACCTTCCCATATGGGTCAGCCTCACAGAATATTGCTTTACCACATGGCACCATCAGGCTCCCATTCACGAATGTTTTGACTATTTGGGGTCCCTTGAGATTCTACATGGATTTTAGGATGGATTTTCTATTTCTGCAAAAACCATCATGAGGCTTTTGCTAGAACTGCATTGAATCTGTAGATTGTTTTGGGTAGTGTTAACATCTCAACTACATTTATATACATCTTTTTTTTAACAGTAAGTTTCTTTTTAATAGAAACATCTCAAATATATTTATGTTCATCTTTTTTTAACAGTAAGTTTCTTTTTAATAGAATTATTTTATTATTTATTTATTTATTTAGATTTGACGAGAGATGGAGAGAGGGAGAGAGAGCGGGAGGGAAAGTGTGAAAGCAAGCCGCCAGGTCCAGTACTCAAACTGCTGTCGGCCATGTGGAAATATCCAGCTCCCTTAACCACCACACATATATTTATGTTCATCTTTTTTTAACAGTAAGTTTCTTTTTAATAGAATTATTTTATTATTTATTTATTTATTTAGATTTGACGAGAGATGGAGAGAGGGAGAGAGAGCGGGAGGGAAAGTGTGAAAGCAAGCCGCCAGGTCCAGTACTCAAACTGCTGTCGGCCATGTGGAAATATCCAGCTCCCTTAACCACCACACCACCTGCCGGCCCACATTTATATACATCTTCTAAAATGTCTTTCAGAAGTGTTCTATAGTTTTCCTTGTATAAGTCTTTCACCTCCTTGGTTAAGTTAATTCCTAAATATCTTACTCTATTTGATGCTACTATAAATGGAATTCTTTTTTTTTTAAAAGAATTATTTTAAATTTATTTATTGTTATTATTATTTTTGAATTTGACCAGAGAGAGAGAATGAAAGCAAGAAAGTAAGCCACCAGGTCCTGGACTTGAACCGCAGTCAATCATCTGGGAGTCCAGTGCCTCTAACCACCACGCTGCCTGCCAGCCCCAGAATTCCTTCCTTAATTTCCTTTTCTAATTGGTCATTATTAGTGATACAAATGCAGCTGATTGTTGTGTGTTGATTTTGTATCTGGAAACTCTGCTGCATTCACTTACTAGTTCTAACAGTATTATGTGGAATCTTTAGGATATTATATTGGTTCATGTTATCTGTAAACAGATCATTTTACTTTTTCCTTTCCAACTTGGGTGTTTTTATATTTTTTCTTTCTAATTGCTAGAACTTCCAATACCGTGTTGAATCAAGTAATAAAAACAGCCACCTTTGTCTTATTCCTTAATATTTTCATTGGATAGATGTGGAAATATAGGCCATAAGAAGGAAATTTACTTGTCCAATTTTATATAAGTTCATAGCAAAGCAGGGACTAGCATCCATATCTCTAAACTTCTGGTCTAGTATTTTTTCCATTATGTTGGTTCCAGAATTAAGAATAGCTGGTTTTGGAAAGAGGCACATTATATCTTTATTCGAAGTTCTCTTACACTATTTTCACATCAATAAGTCATGATCGGTGATGGTATTAAGGAACTATTTTAGTATTGTGGGATTTTTTTTTAATTTGTAATTCTGAATTTTACATCTGATGCATGTAACCTAAACGTTTATGTAAATTTCAGAATGTTATTCTTTTCCTTATTTCTTCAGTGCAGTTACAGTTGGAACTGATATGCTAGAATTGGACTGCCATATCACAAAAGATGAACAAGTTGTAGTGTCACATGATGGGAATCTAAAGAGATCAACTGGAGTCAATGTAAATATCTCTGATCTCAAGTACTGTGTAAGTAAAAATGTGTAATAAACTAATGTCTAATAGATAATAGGGTCTGTAAGAGTTTAGAAAACAGTGAATGCCAGATATTGCTTCAGGAAATAATTTTTTTTTAATTATAGTGATTAAATAATGAATGTCAAAGAAAAATTTAAAAACTATGTTGAATTCCATTAAAAAATTTGTACTAGGCTGGGTCATAGCCAAATCCCACATGGCTGACAGAGATTCAAAACCCTGGGGCCAGTAGATGGTGTAGTAGTTAAGCTGCTAGACTCCCACATGGCTGACCACAGTTCCTGGACCTGGTGGCTTGCTTTCTCACCTTCCCTCTGTCTCTCTGTCTCTCTCTGGTGAGCACATGTACCCTGTAGCAAACTTTAAAATAATAATAATAACAATAAATAAAATAAAACAAAGCATTTTGAAAAAAAAAATCCTTATTTTGATGTCTTGGCAATCATGCCAGTCATATGTATATGCATGCCCACAGTCTTGACAGGACAGAGTCATAAAGAACAGGGAGATTGGAGTCACATGTCTGTGCCCCACTGGGAACTACTTTCTCTCTCTCAGGTGAGCACTCTGGTACTCTGGCAATTTAAAAAATGAAAAAAAAAAAAAGGAATTTGTATTGAGGCTGGCCCCATGGCATAGTGATTAAGGGAGCCAGATCCCTCATGGCCAACTTTGCATTTGAATCCTAGCCTCTGTGGCTTGAAACACAGTGAGAGGGCCAAGAGGTGGTGTGGTGGTTAAGGTGCTATATTCCCATATGGCTAACTGTGGTTCGTTTCATGGTCCCAGTAGCTGGAAACTAACACTGAGCATGTGTGCATGTGTGTCCAAAATCCCAAAAGGAGAATGGAGGAGAAGGGATTGTCATGTGGCCATCCCGCGGGAGTAATTTCACACTTTCCCTCTCTCTGTATTTGCCTGTCTTTCTCTCTCTGAAGAGCGCACACATCCTATGACAAACCAAATCAAACAAACAAACACGAGTGTGTGCGTGGCCAAAATCCCAACAGGATAGAGAAGGGATTGTGGCATGGTCACACCCTATTTGGGAGTGTTTTTTCTCTCTCTCTGTTTTTCTCTGATAAGTGGATGTGCCCTCTGATGATTAAAAAGAAAGAATTTGTACTGTATGCAAATATATCTATGGAGACTTATTTTTATTTATTTATTTTTTTGGAGAGGTTTTTTTTGTTTGTTTGTTTTTTGCTATAGGGCATGTGCGCTTGCCAGAAAGACAGAGACATTCTGTCTCTCTGCCTCTCTCTTCTTTCTGGCGAGTGCACGCGCCCTATAGCAAAAACCTCTCCAAAAAAAAAAAAAAAA